GATGGAGGCCTCGCTTGCGGAGGAGGCGGCGGCTCCGCGCGACGATGGAGGCGAATGGTGAAGCCCAGCGGTGGTTGGAGGCGATTTGCACGACGGTGGCTTTTGTTCGGTGTTCTTTTTCGGGGGCGATTTGGGGTGCGTATTCATCCCAAAGAAGGGACGTCCAGAGTCTGGAGGGATTGGATTTCGCTGTCAGGGTATTTCCCAAGAAGTACATGGCATGTATCTCATGTTTCTGATTCTGGATGTTTCTGGTGAGTTCAAGGGTTCTGGTTCTTCATGTTTCTTCTACTGTGCAAAGGTCGATGGGTACCGACACACCGCCCTAGCCTCGGTGTCGGACACCAAAACGGTTGGGTGTCTCTCGTTTCGGGCAGTCTAGACGAGGTTCCAAAACCGGAGGAACGGCGGTCCTTTTGGGGTCCCCAAAATCGGTTCCCATCCATGAGGAACCGAGGGGCTGGTGTGTGTTGGGTAGGTTTTGTATGGAAGTTGGGGGTGAAAGGAGGAAGACATATGACCAGCTTCTTCAGTTCATGACCTAACTTCAAGGTTCCTTTTCGTGACCCGAGTCCGGAGGCTTGTTCGTGACCGAACCAAGCAGGTGATCAAGTTCGGTCACGTACTGAAGAACCAGGTACTAAGTGGATCTGACATTAGTATGCGATACTAGGACCCACAGTCGGGTGGTTTCTCTGGACACCCCGAATCACCTCTAAGGAGATCAATAGAGACCCCCGGCCCGGGTGTCCTGGTATACCCCTCCATCGGACACAAAAGTAACATCCCTTTCCTGTATTGGACACATTTGGACAACCGTGCCACTATCTACCCTAAGGGTCCAGGATCATCCGTTTCTCAGATGTCCAAACTGGCCATGGCAACGACCAGCAACGACCAGCAACGTTTCGTTCTTTCACTCACCGAACGAGCTCGACCATCCGAACTGCACCAGGGGCCACACCAGGGGCCAAATAACCGGCGTTTTTTCCCTAGCAAACAAACATGGTTTTTGGTAGACCCGTTATTTGTCATGAGAAACCGGTCCGGGCCACTGGAAGGGGAAGTACTATGAAGCAAATCCAGTGAAGCTTCGCTTTCGTGCTGCGCTCCACTCCCAGCTGGGTTCCTATGGCCCAATGTCATGACGGCCTCTTTGGGACTGCCATAGGGCCAATCAGTTGGGATGGTGCCAGCAGGGTCAATGTATACATGGAGTGTGCCAGCAGGGCAAGGGGATGAAGTTCGTGAGAACGAACTGGTCAGACCACAGTGCAGGTTCACCTTCTAGGAGGGAGGAAAACTAGACTGATGGGCATTGGTGTCCAACATGAAAATGCTCGAACTCACTTTCGAACACTAAACCGATGTTCTCTGCGTGCTTCTCAAACCATCTTCACCACGAGTCTTCTTTGGATGATGCCCAGTCCCATTCCACCAATCCAGGAGTCCCCACAAACTGCCTGTTGCGTGGTGCCGCGCCGTGCGCGGTGGTGCGGGTCTTTTCCGCGATACCGCGGTCAGGTGTTCCGTATTGGTGAGGCCCAACACCTTCACGAAGCCACAAGTGCCCATGCATGCGGTTTTGGTGTTTTTTTCTGTGCAAAGATCCTGTTGGGTGCATCTGGATCCCAAATCTCGAAAGGTGAACTATTCAAGAGAGGAAAACACAAAGGGAGCATGTTCCATTGACCAACTCCGGCCCACCCTTACCAAGCTGTGCTCAACAGGTGTTCTTGCCGATAGAGCCACTAGAAACACACATGGAAGCCACTAGAGCGAGTTGGACTGGTCGGCCGGGGCGGAAAGTGGCTAGCTGCTAGGTGGAGCGAGGCGTTGGGTGGAGATGTCACACCAACAAGTACCCCCCAACAAGTACACGGCAGAGTCATGCACCCTGACCAACCGTAGAACCTGGGTGTTTAGGGGGTCCGATCTGCAAGGGAGTACCGTCTCGTGCCCTTAAAAACAAAACACACACACACACACCCACACCTGGTAGAAATCGATGGTTATCATCCCCAATGGTCACCATCCAGAGCTGGGGCACCCCCATGGGTCTTCGTTCACTTGTTCCAACGCAGCAAAGAGTGGGTGGTCCAAAGAGCTCGGCAAAGTTGTGCTAGATTACAATTACCAATTACACCACCTCAAATGAACTTGTGGAAGTGGACCATGGAGTCTTGGATGACCATGAAATCCGCTACAAACAGGGAATGTAGATCAAAGCTATGACATCAGCAATATTGCGTAACTCTTCGTCTGTTCGAAGCATGCGGTCTCATCTCTCCATGTCCAGTCGTCAAGCTGAAACAAGGTTTTCGCCTGAGAGGCGACAGGTGATCTGGAGTGTTGGTTTATATCTTTATGATTGTATAATCTATAACTATACTGTAGACTCTTGATACATCAAATACCACTTACATATTATGATTTAGATATTTAACTTTATTCTAAAATTTGAAAAATATGTTTTACCATCTAGAATCCACATGGAGCGGGTTCCTATAGTCTAGAGACCCGTCAACGCATGATCACCCGAGAAGTTCGCTGTCCTGGATCCTGGGCGTCCGGTGAATATCCGAGGTTGCATGGTTTCAACCAACGCTTCAACGGATGTTTCAACGCCTTCAATAGCTCACCTGGAGCGAAGAACATCATCCCAAGTTGAGTGACTATAATACCTGAAATCAAGCAAGAACGGCCAGTCTGCCGACTGGCCCTGAGACGGAGTTCAAATTTATGCGTTTCTCAGCATGTGCAGCTGGTGCTGTTTGAAGAAGAGGGACGTCTAGACTATATAAGACTGACTGTCTGACATGTTTTCTGACTGTCTATGTGTGTCAGTTTCACTTCTCCGATTTGCATGCCATAGTTGTGACCTCCTACCCCAATACCTGGATTCTTCAAAGTACCCTAGCAAACAGGACATGACTCCTATATAAAAACAGGTACAACAGGTACGACTGTACCCATTTTCCAAGGTACGTCCTCAGGCTCCAAGTACGACCGATGGGCTGAGGGGATTGAAGTATTTTTTGTTTAATGCCTCTGAAGAACCACCTGGCCTGAGCAAAAAGACCCTGACCAAATATGTCCTTCCCAGGATGCCCTAGGACTAGCCAATCTGGCCCATGGCTGATCCTCCTAGGGCGGTCCAGGAACGGGAACAAACACAGCACAGGAGCTTCACTTATGGGAAAAAAACACATCACGATCTACATCCTATGGTCTTGTGGTCTTACAGGTATCCTCCATCACCATCTGCACACCATCTGTAAAGGAGCCGTGGTTTTTCGTCCGCGTCCAGTTCCGCCCCAAAGCCACGGTGCCTGGTGGCCCTGGTACGGGGACCGGAGCGCTGAGGCCGTCCCCTGGCGTACGGGGTCTTCTCAGCGTCAGCGTGCTAAGAGGTTTCGCCATCGCTTTTTGCAGATACAAACCGTGGATTTGCTATACCCAGATACGACCTGTCTGGGACTGCCAGGACGGACTGCCGTATGATCAGGCCAGGGGTGGTGCCAGAGGGGTCAATGGGGCGGCATCTATGGCATACATGGAGTGTTTGCTATATATAATTTGCTTAAGGAATCGGGAAACCCAATTAGGGGATTTACCCGTCGGGTAGTTTAAGAAACACACTTTGAGCAAAACCAGGCAAACATAGGGTAGAGCGCTATATAAACAACTGCACTCAGCCTAGCTGCTAGCCGTGCGTGAGACTAGCTGCAAGCCGTTGACGGAAGGCGAATTCTCCGCTTGGACACTTTGGGGGAAGACTTGATGTCGAAGTCTTGTGAGTCCTAGGATTTACTGATGCTCAACTGATGTTTCTTCGATTGCTCCAGGATCATTCTGTCAGATTTGAATAATTTAAAACTTTGAGTATATATCCCAGGGACCCAGAGCGCAGTGGATGATGGGGCCAGGTTGCAAGACATTTTTTCTAGAGTAGCTGATGTTCTTGAAAAAATAACCGACGGCTCCAAAAAGGTCAACCTGGGACACCCTCTGTGTTCGACACGGCCCATGGGACTGGCATATTGACCACCCCATTGACCCCTTTTCAATCAATCAACCACCCAAACGTCTGTAACATATGCCAGTCCCATGTGACTCTTGAAGAGAAAGGGGACTCCTTCAATCCTTTTCAATCAACCACCCCTTCAGCCACCCCTTCAAGAGTCCCATGTGTCGTGTCTGGGACTCGTGTCCGGCACCGAGTCGATGCAGGGCCACGCCGGCTTGGCAGGTCGGGATGGTCTTCCGAAAGATCGCAGAAGTAATGCCGACTCCCGAGCCGTTTCCCCTGAACAAATGGTTTTATTGACTTGTTCCATCCCAGCTTCTTCAGTTCGTGACCGAACTTGAAGGTTCCTATATAAGTGACCCGTATAGGAGGCTTGTTCGTGACCGAACCAACCAGGTGATATCAGGTGATCAAGTTCGGTCACGTACTGAAGAACCAGGTCTGCTCCAAAGAGGTTTTGTAATGGTTTGCAGGTTATTCACACACACTGGGTAGGAATGGGTCTTCCTCAGCTCTGGCACGTTTGAGGTTGGACGGTCTCACTGATTATACCCCTTTTACATGATGAGCTGAAGCAAACCATGCATCCTTCAACATGTTCGAGCCACTCCATGTCTGGTTCTACCCAGCTGCTTAAGAGCTTATAACTGCTTATTATATATATTAACCATATCACCTGCCAGCCTTTGCACCAGTGTTCAACAGCCCAGTTTGCCCACCACCCCCCTCTCAGATCGACTTAAGGAGCAAGAACACCCACCGCGGGTGCCCCCCCCCCCCGTTCGGCCTGGCATCCCCAATCCACTGGGCGGCGGAATCATCGGCGTCAAACTCGGCGGAGCGTGGGCGTGGGGGAGCTCGGTGTGGAGCGCGGATCCGCGGATTCGCGGAGTGCGGGTGGGTTCGGGGGGGGGGCAGGTGAGTCAGGATGTGGAGTCAGGTGGTATTTGGTCCAAGCAAGTCTCGAGATCTGACCGTCCAATTGTTTCAAACATTCGCCTCCAAACTTCATATTAAGGACAACCAAGCGAACTTACATGTTGGCTTCAACTGGCATGTTCATAAAACCTCCAAACTCCACCCGTAACCGCAGCGTTCCCATGCGTGTCCTCGCTCCCAACCGCTTGCTTCTCCTTTTCCGCGGCGGAAGAAGCCGTCGCTCGAGTTCTCCAGCGGCCGTCCTCCAGGCGCTGCCGTTCTCCAGCTGCCTCAGTCGTAGATGTCCGACTGCTCCTTCAAGGCTGCCAGCTGCTGCGCCCATTGCAAGCGCGCACGCCTGGGAGTTCCACCCCACGGCTATTCCGCGCTCGTGCGGTGGGTGCCGTGCCAGCGGCGGCTTCGGATGCGTCGGAGGGTTGAATGGAAGACCTCAAAACTCGAAACCTCTGGCGCTTTCCTTTCGGGGTGTCCTGTCTGGAGACCTATAGAAGTAATAGTCCATAGGGTAGTCCAGTGGACACCGCCACAAGAAGCAGCTGGAAGGTGAATTCGTTCTAAAGATCAATTGGATTCAGTTTCCATCTATTTTGGGGGACCTGCATGTCCAGGTATCTACATCGAAGTACCCCGCGCGAAGTAGCCGTGCGCACCGCCGGGACCCGTAAGATGAACCGGAGCACCAGGAAGAGCCATCGAACGAACGAGATGGAGCGACTCTACCCCATAGAAGACCTGCTCAGATTCTTCAAGCAGAAGAATACAGTAGACAAAGCAAAAGCGTACATGATTCCACGATCATGCTACTTTGTGAAGTTCTATAGTCGATCTAATATGATCTAATATAGATTTTTGTTTCAGGATTTTACAACCAAGGAACATCTCCAAGGCATTCAAAGGGTTGTAGTCTACATACAGTAGTATATCAATAGGCAGGGGTTGGGGCTGGCACAATGACTCTTCACACATCCCTTTGAAACTTTTTCTGTACACCGCCACTGAGGTGTAAGTAGAACCCTGGCCCTGGTTGTATGAGCTAGCTCATAGTCTGCTCACTAGCTATCTATCTAAGTCTCCACTTGGTCGTACAGCGTCCTTGCCCATGAACAACCGCATGATGAGACGTAAAAAACGTCTATCCATCCCTCTGACGATGTCTATCCAAGTAAGCTTTGAGGTCCCCATGTTTGCGCTGACCTCCCTATGTTCAATCACGAAAAAGGAAGGCGTTTCGTTGTTGGGGAAAGAGGGATTCCATGGGTTTTGTCACAAGGAACTAGGAACGCCATATGAAGTAGGATGAACTAGGAATTAACTAGGAATGCTTCACCTTGTGGTTTTGCAACAACATATGTTGGGCCTATCCAAATACCCGGGCCCAGTGGATGATGATGGTTAGGTTGCAGGCCTTGTTCAATAGTGATGTTCTTGTTTACAGGTCCTGTTACAGGTAAGAACGGACAGACCCAAGTCACATATGATGGAATACCTTGGGTCTATCCTAATAGCTGTAACAGTGGATGATGATGGTTAATAAAGGCCTTGTCCAAAAATAGTGATAATTGTTTACTGACTGTTACAGGTAATAGGCCAGACCCTAGGAATACCCATCGATGCTTACCCCGCTCGATCCTCGGGGTGTCCAACGTTGCTTGCCAAGCAACAGTTCTTCGGCGTGTTCCTGGCGCTTTTGGCTCATCCGAGCCTGGGCCGCCCAGGCTCAGTGCGCAATCCGAGTCATGAGCAGAACACGCTTGTGTAGCGCAAAAGCAGCTGAAAACGGGATACCCTAAATCCCAAACTAGTGATTTTCACGAGCAAAACTAAGATGCTAAGAAGTTTAAATATTTTGTATTAAAGTACAGTACAATTGACCCAGTGGAAGTCCCTCAAGCTGTGGTATTCAGTGTAACACAGTCGAAGATCTCTGCCATCCTCTGCACCATCAGGCTTATAACTCGGACTGTGCCTCCGGATCCTTACGTGCTTTGACTCACAAATGCCCCGACGCCCCTTCAATGTGTTGCGCAGCGCTTGTTCAAACGATCGCGAGGTCCTGAACCGCAAAGCGTTGACCACCTGCTAGGTTCTCAATAGAGACACCTCCTTTTCAGCCTCAAAAGACGAAGAAAACCTTTGGAAATTAGGAGACCTGTAAAGTTGAAGATCTAACCTCCCAAGTCTGCCACAGCACTGGCACCGTAAAAGCAGGATCCACCCACTTCCGCACCCCTCCAGCAACGCGGCCCGTTTCGCGCCCAAGACACTGCTTGATAGACCTGCGATTCAGGGCCGAGACGATGCGATCCTCCTATGCAAAATCCTACAGAGGTTTTTCATGACCCGAACGTTCGACTATCCCAGTTGGGTACCCCAGGTGACGGGTCCTATAAGGTCACTTAACCTCTCTTGGATGTCTGCCAAACTTGGCTGGTTTTATAGATGAAACAGGCATCAATGGCATAAACAGTTGGAAGATCCAGGTGTATCCATGGAGGTATATGATGGAATATCTTCACCCTACATTGACCCCTTAAACACCACATCTGAACAACTCACCCAATCCATGCCAAGAATTCCAGTCCGGACTTTTCCGGACACGTCTGGTTGGGCACTTCCCTGATTTCGTGGATCTCTGATCTGCCCAGCCCCATCCGGACGGGTCGTTCTCCGGGCTTTTGGTTGAAGGGATCGTGACTCGTACCACCCAGCCCGCGCCCGCAGGGAGTCCAACCACCGTTTCAACAGGCGGAATCCCGAACAACCCCGCAGTTTTTACGATGTACTAAGGACTTTACTATACTAGCAGGTCAACTAATTGTAGAAATATGTAAACATGGTCTTGGACTTCCATAGTACCAAATACCTGTTTTATCCAATTTTATTCTACACTTTGAGGTATGTCTGCAGCCCCCTCCTGACTTTTGAACTGGAAAATGTCAGGTGAATGAACGCACTCCAGCTGTTCTTGTGTTTGTGGCGTGGGGAAACTCTCCAACCCAAGGAAATGACAGAGAAAATAAAACAAAACACTGAAAAGAAACAACATGCATGTTAAGTTAGCTTCTATGGTTTATTATATAATATATATATATATTATATAGCTTCTTTACCTTGTTTTGCCCAAAAGGGTCACTTCTGCAGGTGGCTGAACTGAGTAGGCTGAACTCCGCCCGAAGATCGGTTTCTCCCGGCGGTTTCGGTGGACGTGTTGGACGTGCGTAAGCGTCAGAAACAACGCGTCCAACACATGGGGAGGACGATCTAACACGATCGTCGCCAGCCATCTGAGTCATCTGCACTCCCTAAGGGTCCAGGGCCATCCTGAGAATGTCCTTTGACCCCCCAAGACCATTCTCAGGAAGTACTTTCACCTCCAAGACCATCCTCAGGAGGTACCTGGACCCTATGGGACTGTAACCCCTTAATTCCCTCAGCATCGGCACCATGGGAACCGACACTCCCACTCGGCGCCGCTCTACCGCTGCGTTCGCATCCGCGTTCGGCCCGGGAAGCCCGGGAAGCACCGCGACGCTCTACCGATGAGGCGCTGCGAGTTGTTGCTCCGTAGAGGTGCACTCGCTCCACTTCTTGTGCGTGCCCTAAGTTGGCAGCTGCGATCCGAGTGGGATGGAAGCTTAAAAGGGAGAGAAAGAGGAAACAAAAGAACAACACGTGCATGGGACTTTTGGTTTGCTTGGACAAGTGGGGTATTGAGAAAAAAAGGCGTGTCAACATGTCTTTTGCCATACATCGAGATCATGTTATTGTTATTTTTACTCTTATCGTTTTCTCAGGTGTTGGGCTCTGTGTACTAGAAATCGTCTTTTTCCAGCATTCTGTGGGTGTGAAAGCATCCTTGGTCGAAAGTCGACAAATGTATACAAATGTCATCTGTTCCTTCTATTTCCTTTCATTTCGCATTTGTTTCCTTTCATGTTCCTTTCAATTTACATTCCTTTCTTTTTTAAGACGATATGCTCAAACCGGTCATGTGAGTATCCTCCCAAGTGCTCGCATGTTTGTCCTATTTGGTTATCGTTTTTGTTATCGTGTTGGAGGCCTGTGCAGGTTGCCATCTTCAGGGTTCATGAACATGTGCATGTATAAGTTCGTTATCATCTTTTTTACTCTTATCGTTTTCTTGGCCAGAAATGCAGTAGTAGTGTTAAGGTGCAGGCCAAGACTAAACTGCTGAGCGCGGGGTTATTTCATCAGCCCAAGTGCTATGTCTGCACATGGAAACCAATCTTTGTTCCATGCCCCCAAAAATCTAAATCGTTGGCATTCCTTCCTTGGGAAAGCAGTCGTTAGTTATAATTTAGCTTAAAACAAGATATACTATGATAATTAAACCACAGGTTTTGAGCTCAGTCTCTGACTGGACCTTTCGACGTTCAGCATCCCCGGGCTATGGGTAGGAAGTGATCAAAAACTCACCCTCACAAAGGGGTTGAGGAAGGTTGCTTGGGAGGCTGACCTGGGTGTTTGGTGACGTAGTAGTACTAGTAGTAGTAGTAGTAGTAGTCGTCGTCGTAGTAGTAGTAGTCGTAGTAGCAGCAGTAGTAGTAGTAGTTGTTGTTCTGTTACAGTATTCCTTTTGTCCTTGTTGCTGGTCTATTCTGGAAACCACACTTTTCTCCTCGATGTCTTGCCACAGAGTCAAGCTTGACCATGATGATGCATTCTGACACATTCATCTTGGATTTGTTTAAGGAACCTGGAAAAGTAATATTCACCAGAAGGGAACTTAATCATAAGATCATATATCTTATTGCCCTATAGCTATAGGGCTCCTGGCCCATCTCCTCAGGTTCAGTGGTCTTCGACCCCCCTGGCCCCCAAAACCCCCTGTCCCATCGAACCGAAACGGAGGTGGGACAGGAGCCCAGTCACGGGTTCGACGATCACCATAAGCAAAACCAGGTGAGCCACTCTAAAAACCTGGAGTCACTCCCTATGTCGTATCACTTTCCTTGCGCGAAGCCTTACGCGCTGCTTACGCGGCCCTCACTTGATGAAATTGAAGCACCAACCTCAGACCTGACCTGGGGTGACCACACCGCGGTGAGGCCACCAACAGCGGGACCTCGCGACAAGCAGCGGCGCGGTGGGTCCATGGGCCAGGCTGCTTGTAGGCGGGTACGTCCCGAGACTCCGGGCGAATAGAAGTGGACAGCTCAATCAGCTCAAGGAGTAAACATCGACTGAATGAATTGATTTCGTGCACTTCTTTCTCCCCTTTAGGGCCCAGGGTACCGACCCGTACCTTCGGATGGGTCGACTTGCCCGGCGAGCTCGTACAAAACCAGGGTCGTTGCTGGTTTTTCGCCTGGGGGCCGAACGCAGGACCTCCGAGATGGCCGGATTGTCCTAGATTCTTAGGGTTTGATGTGGAACTAAGATGATGGAAGTGGAAAGAGGGCACCCCGAATGGAACACCCTTGAAACCGAATACCCAAAGCACGGTGTGAACTCCACTTCCACTTCTGAACGTTCCGAACGGATCAGTGAATTCATTGGGCCACCAACCCACGGAGCGTTGTCGCCTCCGAGTCACGCTGGGAGCGTTCTCGCCCGCCATCATCGGCAGCCGGACGCTGTCCTCGTGCAGTGGAGCAGCAGAGGGGCGCGGTTCGGCGGAGCGGGGAAGTGAGGCGAGGGGTGTCCTGCCCTAAGGATCCGAGTCCGGACCCTCCTGGACGAAGGGGTCGAACCCTCTAGAAAAACCAAGGGTTTGGGGTCCCCTCAAAACCCGTTTTTGGGGGTTGCGGATCCTTAGGGGCTGGTTGGTGCATCGAATCTTTTTTTGTGGTTGGATTCGACTTGTGGATCGATCGCGTAATTTGGTGTGGTGGTGGGATTCGACTTTTCGATTCATTCCAGATTCCTGAAAAGCCTCAGAATAATACGAACACTTGAGGATGACTCTGCTGGAACCCTTGAGAGTGCTTAAGAAAGAGCTACTGGGACCTACTTTCATAGGTACCTTGAAGGTGCATATATCGAAACTAAATAGGTCAAACCAAAACTTGTGTAAGGTGTTGGACATACTCGGCTGATGAAACATCCGGCCTTGAAGTGGTCTTTTTCAAAGGGTAAACCTGCTCAATGGAGGAAGCTTCGAACGGAACCATGAGAAATCCTGGAACCATGAGAAAACCGCCAGCGAGATGGAGACAGCCCCTCGTCCCAGAAGAAAGACCGAATGAACGAAGGGTTACACCCGGGAGAAGACCGAACCGGGGGAAGACCCACATGGACCAGACTGGAAGACGATTTGTCCTATAACAAACCGGGCGTGGTTTATAGGGGGGTCACCTCTCACTGGATGGGCCAAACCAGGACATGGAACTGGTACAAGCATGTACAAGCCAAATTGCTTTCCACTTCGAGTGGCTTGAGAATAGATGGCCACAAGTGTCCAAGTTTGGTGCTTTAGGTGGAGCTTCCTCGAAAGGACATGGGGTGCCGCCCATGTGGAACTGCTTATATATATATATATATAGCCTCTGCCAAGAGGCATGGGGTCCAGGCTCTGCTCCTCCAACCTGACAGGCGAAAATAGGAGTCTGACTCGAGCGGTCGACCATGCAGGTCAATCTTCTAGTCCTTGCATGATGTGCTTGGACCATGTCACCCCCCGGAGTCAACCCCAGAAAATAGACCTTAAATTAGAAACCAAGCACGAAATTACTCCAATTGCAAAACTCTCTGCATGTAAGCATGTTCATCCGATGACTCCTTCTGCTTGGTGGAAAAATCTCTCCCCAACACCAGCTGGTGTTCCACTAAGCAAAACCGAGAAAGAAAAAAAACCACAGTTCCCGCCCCACAATTCCTCACCCTCAACTCCGCGTTTGGTTTTTTTTCCTATGCAACACACGTGCTTCTAACAACTTAGAACCTTTCCTCCGTGGCGTGTTCCACCTTACGTAACCCTTCAAAACCCCACACGGCACGGACCCCAACGACCGTCCAGGTTCCGAGTCCGCGCCTTGTAGGGCTGTGGCCCGTAGACCGGATCGATCTTCACGGGGATCCGATCCCCTTCCTCGGTTCGACTCGGTGTCCGTGGCGGTTCAAGGGCTCGTGGGGTGGAAAGCAGAGCCCGGGCGGCTGGGGCGGCTGGAGGTCCCTCCCTCATTTGTAGCTGTTTCAGGGTGTTTCGAGGTGTTTCTGGGGTCAGAAGAGAGAAGGAACACATGCAACACCTGAATTCTTGGAGACAAAGAGGTTTTAGGTGTTGCTGGGCTATGGCAGCTTCTTGGAGGTGACCTTTTTTAGGGTCTGCTAGTGATTCTACAGTTCAGTGCCCTCAAATTTGCACCCTCCTGGCACCCACCCCAAACACTCTCATACTTGGAGCCCCAAGGGTGGGGCAAACTATCAAATAGAATGCCTCATGATTCATGATCGCTCTATATCACTCCCTAGGGCTCCAGTCGTACGTTCTGAGGTTCGGTGGGACGGTCAGGGGTTCGGGTGCCAGGAGGGTCCAGTCTCACCTTCGTTTCGGAGGTACGACTGGAGCCCTAGGGACTTGGAAGAACCCCTTCCATCCGCTCTCTCCTTTCGGCCTTTCTCTCCCGAACTCTCCTGCCCCGTTAAAACACTCCACCCAGGCTGCCAGCTCCACGGTCACCAAGGACAGGCCCTCGTAGACCCGTTCTGGCCAACGGACGTCTGAAGGACGACTTCAGGCTCCCGGTGAATCGGGGGAAGGCTTCTGGTAGCGGATGGTGAGACAATGGACAAAAACAAAGGGAAAACCCAAGGACTTCGGTTGGTTCATCTTGGTGAACTGAAGAAATCAACTTATATATTCCTCCCAGACGCTCAAAACAGCCCTTGGTCCCTCAAAACCATATGCATAGGGATTTGAGGGTCCGGACCCCTCGATATGAGGGTACCGGCCCCTACTTAGCAGGGTCCATGAGCGTCTGGGCTGTAGCGAATGCACATTCATCTAAATCCTCGATGCAAACTGCGGATTTGGTGCTTTTGAATCCAAAGATCTCTTCGTTAGTAGCGCAGCAGGGTGCCGCTTGCTTGGCTCGGTTGAACGATGATACTTCTTGAGGCTAAACAAAAGAGGTACAGCGAGAAACGACCTTGAAACACATGGCGTGTGCCACTTCCCTATAGATCATAAGGCAAAAAGGGGGTGAGAGTGAAACAGTATTTGGTATACAGTAGAACATAAAAGAGATCTTCATACAGTTTCAACTCACTTGCGCTATTAGATCCTAGTAGTTCCTCGGATTCATCCTCCCAAGTAAAGCTCGAACCCAACAAGCTCCGAAACCACCACCCAGTACGTTCCAGTAGAACACCTCCCAGTGGGGTTAACCCGATCAACCCGAACCTTCACCAGCTGAAGCTCCGATCGTTTTCGGTCGTCATACTGAAAGCACACGACACAGCGGACTGGTATCTTTACCCGCCAGGCGTGGGTGAATTCCGGGGTCGGAAGTCAATCTTCCAGTCCCATGGAGTGTGTGGGTATTGAAACCACCCACACAAGCGACATCATGTCCTGCTTCCCATCTCGTGGCGGCCCGCATCGCCGCATCGAGAAACCGATGGGCCTGTGGTGATGGGTACGGCGTCCAGGTATTTCACTTGGGACAAGGCCATGGCGCTTGGTCTGTGTCCCTTTTCTTCGGGAAAACAGACTTGTTTGATTGAAAGCTGTAATGTTTGATTGATGTGTTCTGTGTGATTTAAAGCGGTTGTATGTTTGTTTGGTCTTGCTGCACCAGCCGGAAATCTCAAAGAAGGACCTTTCATGAATCAGATTCACAATCTTGCTATTGAATTGCCACGCTAAATGATGTGGAATTTGAGTGATTTGTTCTCCCTTCTTGTTGCTCAAGCCAACAGCTGCAGGATATGTGTCATGATAAATAGAATTTGCCTGGTGGAGGGCCATTTGCTTCAGTGTTTATGATTCTTGCTTGTCTGTAATGAACTACAGTAACTATACAGCTTCAACTCAATCTGTTGGCAAATGCGTTTGTGGCTTTCTCCTCCCATTTACACAGGACTAAGGTATCTCTTCAAACCCACGATCCGACTCTAGGACTAGAGGACCCGTAGGGTGGGATGAGGCCTGGAATGGCACAGGTCCCAGTCTCAGCAGGGGATGCCCGTGAGAATGCTTCGAGATGCAACCTGCAAAGTCGCAAAACAACATGCATCTGCTAGTGGCGCAATCGTGATCCTTATAGTCTGCAACACACATGGAACCACAGTGCGGTCTTATCTCCACGAACTTTGAGATGACTTTCACCACCTTGACTGGAGACCAGGTATCGACCAGCGAACTGGTCAGTGGCCTAGTGAACTGGTCTGGTGCCAGAAGTTGTCACAAGCCTTCTGACTGGCCACCCCAGTATCAAGCAAGATATGCAATCTCCCAAACGAACAGTAGAGAATTGCTTACAGTAAATACCCCGTCCAGAAATCCCCTCAAAAAAAGCTTCCCGTCTGAAAATGAAACCAAAACTAAGACTCCTCTCAAAACTCAAAACAAAACCTTAGCCACATCCATTGGCCCTTCCTCTCCCACTCCTTTCCCTCCTCAGGGGTGTGTATTGAACGATATGCAAAGACCCCCATGCGCAACAGGTGTTCATTCCATCTTTCCTTCTTCCAATCAAGACTCTTCCCAAATCTCCCCGAACCCTTTGTCATCCACACCCTAATGCCTGCCTAAGCCTACACGGGCGTTTCAGGAAACTCCGGAGCCCGTGATCCCGTGGACGCTCCCAACAGCTCGCTGTTCAGCATCAGCGCACCCAGAGCTCGCACGAGCTGGTGTGATCCACAAGATCTTCACCGTCGCTGGAAACATCCTGTGCTACCGATAGAAAGAGAGTACCCGGTCTTACTAGTATGGGCCGTATGACCGTATGGCATAATGTATGATGTGCGTAAATGTGCCATGGTCTGGGACAAGATCTACCAACAAAGGTTGAAGGACCCTATAAGACGTCTATAGACTATTCCCTGTAGGCACCCCAGGTCTTCCGGGTCCTATTTAGTCCCGGTCACGCAACCCACCCATTCAGAGAGGTCGCGCACACCGCACACGTCACCATTCACCAGCCTAGACGATCTAGACTAGGCACCCCCCCAGTAGTATCTCCATAAGACCGGTGAAACACGATCTAGCCCTAGGCTCCAACCATCTCCTCAGCAGGTGGTTAGACCCCCCCAAATCCACCCCAACCATCTTCTCAGCAAGTGGGCCAGGAGCCCTAGGGTAGAGGAACGGATCCAACTTCCCGCTATCAGTCCCCTGGCACCATTCCTCCTGGGCCTCCCCGACTCAATCACCGGAGGAGGGTCCCGATCGCTGCGGCGACCCCGCCGGGGGTTCGCCGCGCGGTTCTCGATGAGCTCGTTCACCTTGGTGGTGATCATCTCCTGGCGAGCGCTGAGAACTCACTTGCCCTACACCGACTTCGTCGTACCTCCGAAACGGTTCGGTATGACTGGACCCGACAACTGGCACCCGAACCCCTGACCGTCCCACCGTTGTTGGGTGCAGGTGATGGCATGGAGACGACCCAGTCGACACCCTGGACTCCAGGCACCTCCGTAGCTTCGCGAAACAGGTCGAACGGAGGTGAAGAGACTTTCAATCGTCTTGGCAGGCCCAAGGACATGTGGCCAAAACATACAAAAACGGGTCACTCTCTATCAAGTGACCCTGCATGGGTGCACGACTTTCGCTCCCTCCGTACGAGATCCAATTAGACCTTCCAGCGGTGTCCTGTCTGGAAATCCAGTAAGTCATTAGTGTAGGGTCTTCCAGCCAGGTGACCTCTTTGAAGGTGCTGGTATGATCAAACTAGCCGTGTGTTTCTGGTCCAAAGTCAACACGGGAGTCATTGACATGGACGGCGTCGTGGCCTCAGTGACTCGTAGTTAGTACCAACGGCTGTCGGCTCAGTCTCCCCTGTTGCATTCGACCAGGACCAAGATCCCAAACGGGCCCTATACAAACGGGCCGACTTAGTCCAGCCAAAGCACCCAGGACCCAGCGGACCCAGGATGGTGATTCGTTTGCACCCCACGACTGCTCCAGCTCCGCGCACACTCCGTGTCCCCGGTGCCCAGCTCCTCTGCGGGAGGCAACAGCTCCTGGCACCGTCGGCGCACCGTCGTCGTCGGGTTGGCCGTGCTGGAGTGGGGTTCAAAGGTTGGAAAACCCCCATGGATAGATGGTGAAAAAGATTTGGAGACACATGGTTCATTGACCTGGAATACTGGTCATGTCTGATTCTGTCTGAGTAAAAAACAAATCCCAGATTCTCCATGCATGTATACGCATATTTACCTACATTGGGGTGGTTTTGGGGTCAATGTAGGCATATGGCAGTCCCATTAGTCGTGTCTGGGATATGTCACCATGTCATACCATGTCACCAATGGAATTGTAAAGAAACACGTCCATACCATCGTCCTTTTAAGACCTGGTTTGATCTCAAAAGGAGCCTCATCTAGAGACACATACCCTATAGCCCAGACATTCCATGGGACTGCCATCGTTCTGCCGCCCCGACCCCCGTGAACAACCACCCCAACGGCCGTTTCCGTGAAACTCGGCAGTGCTATGATGGCAGTCCCAAACAGATCATGGAGTTAAAGACTCGAAACACCCATTCCCAACAAAGGTTGAACCGTAAATAGGACCCTACTACCTATATGATCCTATATGGTACCCTGGCCGGGACGTGCTCCGAGCTCCGCGGAGTACCACCACCGAGCCGGTCCGATGCCGCAAGACCAAGCACCCCGGGGGTGGATCCGTGGAGAGGGAATGGCACTATGGGGGCCCAAACGAGGTGGGTTTAGATGGACACCCTCCATCTAAAATCATCAAATAATCATGAAATACACGGTTTTGAGAGGCCCTTTGCTGGGGGCTCAAAAAAAACCCACAGAGGTGCATCAGTTCGGTCGGTGGGGAGTGGATTTGGGAGGAGCAGACCTCCCACCGAACCTGAATTCCCAACAGCTGCTGGTGTTGTTGGACGAAAACACTCACGCAAATGAACATGACATAGTTTGTTTGATTCAGCTGGGCTCCGCGCGGTGCACCGTTTCTTTCTGCATCCGAAAGACACAAGTATAACATCTGCCTTAAAGGACTTCCTTGGAAATTCCGCCAAGGCTACACTCTGCATGTCAAGGCCACCCAAAGCTTGACTCACTGGGTGGCTACCCCGGAGACATGGCCAGTTTTCGCCTGGCACAGACATCTGAATGTTCACTCCCGCACAAAATCAGCAAGAGAACACCTTCTGGTGGGCATGACACTCACATGTCGTTTTCTGGTGTATATAATCATGGGAACCAACGAACAACCTTGTCAACAAAACAAAAACACCAATTCCTCCACGTTCTTCATGTCCCAACTGGCTACCGTGGGGCTCTGCAGCCTCTGCAGCACTCTCCCCGTTCCCTCCAACGTCGTCCGTCGTCAACGCCGGGTCCTCTGGGCCGGTGATACGGCAGATCTGCGCGGCGGAGACTCTGTCAAAGGGCATGGTGAAACTCGGTTCTACCAAGAGAGGTTGAGAGACCAGAACTAGGACCCTGGTCTGTGGTACATATGGGATGGGCGAAAAAGGGCTGTTCAACCTCTCTTGGTAAGGCTGCAGTTTTGGTGAAAAAACACGTGCAAAGAGCAGAACTTTGCGGGGTCTCACCGACTGGACCGCATCGAAGAAACATGACGGCTTCTAGGGTGTGAGTGAGCAAAAAGTGAGAGTCTGAGTCTGCTTGAAGCTATCGAACATGTCAAGCCACTTGGGTCGAGGGATGTTCCTTCTTCGGAGCCACTTGTGGAGCTTTCATTCGAATCTTCTTCTACGTGGCCCCTTTTGCTGCGCAGTTGCTCCTCCAGGTCGCTGGCGCTGCCACCGTCGTCGTGGATGCCGTCATGTCCTTTTTCATGCTTTTGGTTGCGACTGTCATCTTTGGAGGTGTTGGATGTTCACAGGGCGCTTTTGTTGAGACTCCAAAGGAGGTGTCCCTTCCCTGGACTCTGCAAGTTTCTCTGCCAGTTTGGCAACGAAAACTGAATCCTCGAGGGCTTTGGTCAAATGGCTGCCAGAAATCCATCCCTCAGGAAGTTTGGCCAGTGAGCGGATCAGCTTTTTGTTTTCGGCCTTCAATTCGGCAATGTGCTCTCTCATGGCTTCGATCTGCTCCTTCTTTGTGGCTTCACATGCCGTGCCAATGGCCAACGTAATGTCGGCTATCGAAGGAGCTGACGTTTCAGTCTTGTTCTCTTCGCGCTTTTGCTCCCCCACAGAAGATGCCATCAGTGCTTGAGACGGAGGGGCCGTAAAAAGAAGCGCATTACTCCGTCACAGACCTGCTGCCTGTGAATTGGATCTGTGATTGCCCCTGCAATCACCCCAGCCAAAAATCCCGTGGAGGAGCCACAAATCAACCCTGTGCCCCGCCGACAGTGATGTATGCGTGTTCTGCGGATGCTTTCTGGGAGGAGATGATGCCTCCAATTTGAAAGGCTGCAATCACAGTAAACACGTACATTATGGTGGTCACTGTGTACGGACGTGCCGTTTTGTAGTGGAACCATACCATGATCATTGCCAGAAAAAGTCCGCTTGCAGTGAGGATCACATAGAGGGTGATCAGTGT